CTTTGGGAGGTCCAGAGAAATTCTCTGGGAAGTTCAGAGAAAATTATGAGCAAATCAAAGAAAATTGGTCAAAAACACAGAGAAATTCTCTGGGAAGTCCACAGAAAGAATTTCTCTGGAGAGAATATCTTTGGGAGGTTTAGAGAAATTCTCTTGGAAGTCTAATTTCTCTGGAGAGAAAATCATTGGAAAGTCCAGAGAAATTCTAGAATTTTTACGGAGAGAAAATCACTAGAAAGTCTAGAGAAATTCCCAGAATTTCTTTAGAGAGAATTTTTCTAGAGAAAATCTTTTAGAAGTTCAGAGAAATTCTCTAGGTTGAATTTTCTCTGAATCGATATTGAAAGACCTTAGACATTATGAAAATATTAAGTATCCTTTATACTACAAAATTTTAATAGCAAGGACCTTCAAAAAAATCTTCAGTATACTTATTTCAAAAGTGAAACATGGCTAGTATATTTTTCAAATGTGGCTCTTAGTGTATTTGTCAAACATGACTAATATAAAACAAATAAAAAATACTTTAATATATTTTTTTTTTCTAAACGTAACCAGTGTATTTTCTAAATATGACTAATACATTAAATTACATGGGCAAATGTACCAATTCTCATTTAATGAGATTTCGTATTAATTAAAATAAAGTTAGAACTTACTGATCCGCAAGTTCACTTTTTAAAATTTATAGGTCAATCATCGTTATTTTTATATAATTTAATATATTTTTATTGACAAAAATAATTAAAAAATATTTTTTAGATGTTTATTTTGGGGAAAAAGGCCAACAATGGAGGAGGGAGGGGATGACGGTGGTGGTGGCCAATGGAATTCAAAGTTGCAGAGAAAAAAAAAAAATGTTTGAGAGTTTGAACTAAGAGTTTTAAGGGAGTTTTAATGGGTGGGCCTTACACAGTTTTGCTCCTTTTTTTTTTTCTTTTTTTTTTTTTAAAGTAATGATACATTTTTTGAATTTTTAAATTTTAATTAAACTCTAATAATGTGATAAAAAATTAAAAAAAAAACAAAAACAAGGCAAAACATGACTATCACTGTAAAGTCCACGCCCTTAAAACTCCCAAACATTTTTAATATATATATATTTTTTTCACTATCAGCTCAATAAAGCTAACTTTAGAACTTTTTGTCTAAATTTTAAAAAAAAAAAAAAAAAAAAATGAAGAGACGGAAAAAATATAATTTCATAATTCAAAAGGGAATTTCATTTTTTTTTTTTTGTACTTTATTCCCCTTTTCACATGTAGCATATTTTAAATAATTTTATATTAATTTGTAATTTTTTGTCATCAATCTCAATTTGTTTATTTTATAATTTATTTTAAAATTTTATTTTAACAATCATATATATATATATATATATATTTTTTTTTGTTACAGAAAAATCCTCTCTACTTTCTCGCAGGTCCAAGGCAGCGCCCCTTTGTAGAGATTACTAAGGTGTCCTGTTAGCTGTTCCAAGCAAGGAGATTATAACCTGGGAATTTGTCCGCTAAACTCAAGACTCGCTGGTGTCCTATTAGCTGTTCCCGTTAGCCGTTTCGAGCGAGGAGATTATAATCTGGGAACTTGTCCCGACCTTCCAAGACAGGCTCCGCTAAAATCAGGACTCGCATAGCGGGGCAGTATTGAACCCACACCAAGTGCTGGTTAGACAACTTGAGATCAAACCTCCTAACCAACTGTATTACGCCCAGGAGATTGACCTAGGGAGGATTTGAACTCATGACTCGGGGGCTTAATTCCCATGCTCTTACCACAAGGCCACCCACCCCTAGGTTACAATCATATAAACTTATTGAATTGAATAGTAAATTATTTAAACTTAACTGGAAAATCAATAAGTTTTAAATTATATTTAAATTTAATTTATTTACGTAACAAATTGATGTTAAATGAATTTGTACAAGTCAATCACAAATAAAGGTGTCGCAAACTTGTGAGCTAAGCTATAGGCAATTGACGCCTTTTTGGGGACACCCCAAATGGCCTCTTTTGGACACCTCAAATAAGTTATTTAGCCTCCGTTTGAGAAGTTGGTTGATTTTTTAATTTTTAAATTTTTTTGGCTATTTTAGTTTGGGTTAAAAAGTTTGGTTTGAGAAAAGCTCTTTGACTTTTTGATTTTTTTTGTGAGAGAATGATGTAATGATTATGGGTTAGATGTAATATTTTGTTTTTTGTGGCTAAAATAGTCTATTTTGTCTTTTGTGGCTAAAATAGCTAAAAAAGTCCCGTTTAGCTCTTGCCAAACGGACCCTTAATTAACTTTATTTCTATTACATCACATTTTAATTATTTTTATAATTCTAATTAATAATATTTATAACGAGATTTTTTTAGTTTAAGATTCATGATATTAAGATTTTATAGGATAAAACATATATAATATTTTACAGTAATTAAAATTCCTAAACATTTTTACAATTTTCAACTCTTCACAAATAACACAAATAAATTTTTTTTTTTCACAGCGAAATTTCAATTTTTCAAATGATGAGCTGAATTTTTTTTAATAATATTATTGAGAGACCTTTATTAATAAGAAAAAAGATATTGTACCTCTCTTACTAACAAAAATTGAAGAGGAATATTTCAGTAATTTTTTTATTTACAAAATTTATAATTATTTTTTGAAAACATTACTGGATGGATATTAATAATTATTTACAAAATTTAGTTTGTCTCTAGTTGAACTTGCAATTGGACTAGACAGCTAAGATTTATTGCTAGTAACAATCTTTAAGCGGACGTCTCTTATGGGTAAAAATTTATGAATATATGATCCAATAATTTTTTTTCAAATACTCTTAGTAAGAGTTTTTCATTTAATAACTCTTAAAGTTAAGAATATTTTATTTAAATCTTATTTGTCATAACTTAAAAAAAAGTAAAAAGTCAAAAAATTACTGTCTTATTTAAGTCATATCATTTTATTTAAGTCACATCACTTCACTATTACATCACTTCAAATCCAATCCATATTCAATTCATATTCCATAAAAAATCAAAAAATATACTTATTTAAATCATTCAAACAAGCGCTTAATGCTTCTTGCCTTAACTATGTGGTAAATTGAAATTCCAGCAAGACGCAACTCATTCAAAAAATTCTATTTCCACACACCAGTTATTCTCTATCAACACACGTAATGAATTTTTTTTATTACATTTTTGTCTTAAATGAAATTACCAAAATATCCCTTTCTCCTTCAATCAAAACCCTAACCCTCAATCAAAACCCTAGCCACTACCTACTACCAGTAGCCATTTGACAACAATTAAAAATAATGAAGATAAGAAAGTAATGGAGTTATAGAACCAATTTTTTGTGAAACATTTTAGAAGTCTAAGAAAATATTATGGGGTCTGTTTTATATTTAACGTAATATGTCTTTGTAGTTCTATGTACCGTCTGCCAAACAATATTTTGGATTATCACATGGAAGGATTGGTAATTGATAAGCATAAAAAGGGAGCATGGGATGTGGTATTGACTGTTGGCTACGCGAAGAAATCACATGGACATTGTTAGTTTAAAAGAAGGAAAAACACCTTGTTTCTTGATAAAACAGGGTAGATATGACTTTTTTTTAGTGACCTACTGGCATGCTTAAGGTAAGTAGAAAGAAATATGTAACTTAATTTAGTAAATTAGTGCCCACGAGGTGGTTGTTGGCTAGGGTTAGAGTTTGGAAGATGAAGAAAATAAGGGTGTGTACACATTTTTTATTAAATGAGTATATTTGAAATGTGAGGTGTATGAATTGAGATAAATACTTAGGGTGTGTTTGGCAACGTTTACGTTTTCAGTTTATATTTACAAAAATTTTATAAACTGATTTTTGTTTATTTTTTGAAAAACATAAACTACAAACGCGTTTGGTAATTGACAAAATGTTTTAAAAAAATTTAAAATATAAAAAAGAGTGAGAAATGGCGAGTGGTGGCAAGTGGCGGCAGAAGACGGTGGTGGAAAGTGGTGACGGTGGGTGGTGGGTGGTGGTGGTGGCGGTGGCGGGTGGTAACGAGTGGGTGGTGATAGCAGGTGGGTGGCGTGGTGGATAGTGGTGGCAGGTGGGTGGATGACAGTGGCGGGTGGTGGTGGTGGTGGAGTTGGTGGTGGTGGTGGTGGCGGTAGCGAGTGGTGGATGGTGGTGGCAGGTGGGTGGTGGTGGTGGCGGGGGGGTGGTGGGGGGTGATGGTGGTTGGGGGGGGGACGGGGGCGGGTGGTGGGTTGGTGACGGTAGCGGATGGTTGCAGGTGGCGGGTGGTGGCGGGTAGGTGGGCGGATGGTGGTGGGATGGTGGGTGAATAGTTGGGTGACAGTGGCGGGTGGTAGGTGGTAACGAGTGGTGTGTGGTGGTGGCAGGTGGGTTGTGGGTGATCGTGTGGTGGTGGGTGGTACTGGGTAGTGGGTGGTAGTTGCGGGTGAGTGGCAGAAGGCTGTGGTGGCAGGTGGTGGATGGTAAGTGGTGGCAGTGGTGGTGAGTGGTGGTGTGGCAAGGTGGTGTGGTGGGGCGGTAGATGGTAGTGGGAGTGTGGCGGGTGGATGACAGGTGGGTGGTGGGTGGGGAGTGGTGATGGCAGGTGGTGGTGGGGGGGGTGTGGTGGTGGCGAAAGACGGTGGTAGAAAATTGTGGTGGGTGGTGGCTAGTGTTGGATGGTAAAAAAAAAAAAAATTAAAAACTCAAAATGGAAACATATTTTTTGTATTTTCATTTTTTAGCCAAATTTATAAACTGAGACTATTGATTTATAAATAAAAAATTTTACCAAATAAATTTTTATTTGAATTTTTAAAATTTTTATAAATATAAATATAAATAAAAAATTAAAAATATAAATGTTTCCAAATGACACCTTACAAATTAAATTATCAAATGAGTGGAGCGAGAAAAGATAAGCAGATAATGTCACGCGTGAAAATAGAATTTCCCAACTCATTCCTTGACAAATAATATTTACCCCCATGGATTAACAAATATATCAGCATAGCCCTCAAGCAGACAGGGCGACACAGCTTTTGTCCAAATTGTGCTTTCGTTGTTCTGGCACCACTCGGTGACGCTTCTTCTAATCCATTTCTAGGGTTACGATTTCCAGACCCCCAAACCGCTCTATCTCTACATTTTCTTCAAAGTAAGGATCTTGACGATGATGCAACAACCAGGAACGACCTTGGTTCCTCCACAAATGGCGCCTCCAACCGTCCCCCACCAACAGAGCCACTTCCAATACCAACAGCAACAACAGCCATGGATGATGCCCAATCACCACCACCAACAACCACCACAACAACCACCTTTCCAACATCCGCAGCCGCAGCCGCCGATGTATTATCACCAGCAGCAACCACCGTCTCAGGCGGCTCAATCGCAGTTCCCGGCCAGCTCCGACGAGGTCCACACGCTCTGGATCGGCGATCTCCAGTACTGGATGGATGAACAATATCTCGTCAACTGTTTCGCCCAGATTGGCGAGGTAACTCTCATTTGCTCTATTCTATCTTTTATTTTTATTTTTATTTTTAATATTATTATTTTTTGAAATGTTTCGGATTGGAAGTAAAGTTTGAGAAAGAGTTTTGCCAGTTGATACGCAATTGATAGGTATGTATTGTGATGCTTTGTTTTAAATTTTTTATAAATGTTTTGGATTGATAGGTTTGAGAGAAAGTTTAAGCAATTGATTGGTGTAGTGGAGAGAAATCCATTATTTGCATTGAATTTTATTATGCTGTAGGTACCCGGAAACATAGGTGTTTTGGGGATGCATTGTGATGTGGTGCTCCTTTTTTTGTCTATACTAGTTCTATTATTTTGCAAGATTTGGTTTTTATTTATTTTATTTGGGATTGATTGGTTTGCGAGAAAGTTTAAGCAAAACAGTTGCTTATGCAATTGATTGGTGTAGTGAAGAGCAAATCTATTATTTGCATTACATTTTGTTGTGTTGTACAAGAAACGCTCTGCATTATTTTTTGGGGTTCTATATAGTATTATTTTGCAACTTGTTATTTGGTTTTTAACAGATGTATTCATGCTTCTATAATTATGTGGGTTCTGTATGGCATTATTCACAAAAAAGAAATGGTTAACATGTCACGAATGGTTTTTTTTAAAACTAGTTTTGCAGAATTTAACGTGTACGATGTGTAAAGCATATTTATGGTTGAAATTTGTTATGCAAATTTAAATCAGGCTGTTGATTTTCTGTATGAGTAAATGTATCATCATGCTTGTCATAGCGCTATGCACCCGCCTTGATGCACGAAGATACATCATAATAATCATTATCCAGATCGTGTGAATAGGCATGCATGTACAGGGCATAAATGCAGACAACTGTGTAGGTATTTATGTCAGGGACACCTGCCGCTCCCTACATGTATTCTAATTGGGAATGTTTGTGCAATTGTGAGTGCAGGTGGTCACTGCGAAAGTTATCCGTAACAAGCAAACTGCTCAATCGGAAGGTTATGGGTTTATTGAGTTTGGAAGTCGTGCTGCTGCAGAAAGAACTTTACAAACATATAATGGTACCTTGATGCCAAATGTTGAGCAGAATTACAGACTGAACTGGGCATCGTTTGGTGCTGGTGAAAAGCGTTCAGATGGTACCCCTGACTTCACCATATTTGTTGGAGACCTAGCATCTGATGTTACAGATTACATGCTACAAGAGACGTTCAGGTCCCAATATCCCTCAGTTAAGGGTGCAAAGGTTGTAACTGATAGGATGACCGGACGGGCGAAGGGCTATGGGTTTGTCAGGTTTGGAGATGAAAGTGAACAATTACGTGCTATGACCGAGATGAATGGAAAGTTCTGTTCAACCAGGCCCATGCGTGTTGGGCCAGCTGCTAACAAGAAGAATGTGGGTAAGTTGGCAATACCCTTAAGGTGTATTTAATAGTGTTACATACTTTCCGTGGCCTTATGTGATAATTGTTAGTGCATTTGAAATGTTCTGCATTCAGATGGCATTATTATTTGGATACGAATATTTAATCTTGTGTGCATATGTTATCACGTGGTTGGATTTTTCAAATTTTGCCTTTAGAATTGTGTGGTAGGTTATGTTTATGAAGCACGGGTTCAGGTACGGATACTGGCACGGGTATGTTATGGGTATGCCAATACGACAAAACCTAAAAAAAATAAGATACAGGTATGGCTGGGGTACATCAATAATTTTATTTTTATAATTTATAGTTTGATATTCAATCTACAAATCAAAGTTCAATACCAAAACTAAAAGAAAAAAATTATAAAACTGAAAGAGAAATCGTAGTTTAACAATACTATTACTAATACCAAAGCGAAGATTATAAGCTGTTTTAATGCCATTAAATAGGAAAAATTACAAAACAAAGCTTCATTCCAAAGGCGAACTAAGCAAAATTTGAAAACTTGAAATTTCAATTTTCACTTCCATCAATTTCATCATACAATTTCAAGTAAATCAGAACTCTTAAATAAATTATATGTATCTCCATCAATGTCCTATAACTTGGTGTACCCTCGATGTACCCATCTCGTACCCATGAAGTATCCATGGAGTACCCAATTGGCAAAGAATGTATAAGAAGTACCTGGTACGTATTTCGAGTACTCGGTAGGCATGCAGCCCTATCGGTACGACTACCATACCTAGTACGAGTATGGCAATATTTGTGAAGTACCCGTGCTTCATAGTCTCTTTTCCCCATTGTTTTTAAGTGCAGTCTTTGTCTTCTAAAGAATATTGTTGATTTCAGTTCCTTTCAGTTATGCTCTTGATTCTTGGATAAAGCACACCGGCTTTAAATTAATTTCCTTCCGGTGCTTCTCTTTCGAAATTTTGGGCATTAATAATATATGAATGCTAAAACTTGCAACAACTTATAAAATTGTTGTCTCAAAGCAGGGTGTCAAGTGGCTCTATCGTTTAGGGACTGGGAACTGATTTCAGCTGAAATGGTTACCCCTATAGTGCGTGGCCTTACTTAGGTCAGTTTTCTTTTTTATGTCATTACTTTGCCCTTTATATCAGTTCGTTGTGGCATCAATTACGCTACAATTTTCAAATTCTTTCTCCAGTTCCTTTTTTTGATTTAGCAGTCATTCAAAGTTGTATTTCATTTTCCGTTCCAGTTGTTGTCAATTATTTTTGATTTGTCTTCCAGAAGAGATAACACTATTCGGCACATTACATCCTGTATCATCTGCTTTTGAGTTAAGATTTGAATTTGTCCCCTATTTCCTCCTGTTGTTGCCTGAAGCTTAAATTGTCTTTTATTTATTATTTTGATTGACTTTGAGAAAAGGCTGACTTCGTACCACAGTCGTCAATTTTCATCCATTTGTTTGGAATTGCATATAGGAGGCTTAGTCACAACTTACAAATATGGATGTATGTATTTAGTTCAGCTTCCTGAATAGGTTGTTTTTTCAGTCTGTACAGTCCATTTGGATTGTTCCGTTCCTTCTTTATTTTTCCCTTGAAATCTTTGTCGATTTTTCTTTTTATTTTTTTAAAGACGAAAGGAAACACTGCTATGACAATTTTTCTTTTTCAATTTAGATACTGCATTAAATTAGGAAATGCTTTAGCTTTTTACAATGGTTTATTTAGCTGACTCCACTTGAATGTCGAAAAAAGATTCATATAGCCGACTCCACTTGATTGAGACACAAGGCTTGGTTTGGTTTGGTTTGTTATAATAGTTTATTTAACTAAATATTGTCCCGTGCCATACTGAATTTCAACATTTTTCTTCACTGCAAATGTTGTGTAAATTTTTGTCTTGTATGCTCATTTTCCCCCCCTGCATGTAGTAGTTGGTTTAGAAGCAGTACAAATGGTTAATGTTCAATTATTCGTGACTCGTGGAGCTCACATCTTAGGGATTTAATGATGTGGGGATCAGATATATTAGCAACCAAGCGAGGGAAGTTGTGTAGTCATCTCATTTCTTTTACCGAGCCAATGAACTGTCTTGACTTGGATACAGTAGCAGGTTTTTTTATTTATTTGGTATGTTATTAAAAAAAAAAAAAAATAATTTGTTTAGCCACTTTATAAAACTCTCTGGCGGGAAGATTTTGTGATTTGGTGGGTCAACATGTGTTCGATAATGAAAAAAATATTTATGTCTATTATATTTAGTTCACATATGCTGTTACGTTCTTGAGCATACTGCTTTGATGCTATAATAAGGTTTTAGTGGTTATCTTTTTCCCTTTTTTTCTTTTTTCTTTTCTGTACATGTGTTTAAGAACTAAGAAGTGAACTATTGCAATGGCCACTTGGCATTCTGTTTGCAAGATGGCATATTTCATTCTGGCATTATCTTTTTGCTGTTAAAAAATTTTCCTGAATGCTACTATCTTGACAAAGTGGCTATAATGTGTTCATTTGGTTTTGTGATCAGTCAGATCTTCTGTCAGCTTGTATGTGTTGCACTTTTATTCACTTTTTCCATTTTTTTTGTATGCTTATGGATGTTCTGATAATGTCTTCAATATACCAATTATGTTGGATGAAAATCTTCTGCATGGTTTTTTAACATGATCCATAGCATCTGACGTAGTTGTAGAAGGAAAATTCATTTTTTTAGCCTTTTTGTATTTGCAGCTTCATTTCAGAATACACAAGGAACTCAGGATGAGGCTGATCCAAATAATACAACTGTGCGTACTTTTTTTTTCTTTCTTTGAAATTTTCAAATTTTCTTTCTTTTGGGGAGACGGGGGCTGATACGCTTGTGGAAAACAATTTGCATGGCCAGATATTTGTTGGTGGTGTGAATGAAAGTGTTTCGGATGACCAACTCAGGCAAGTTTTCAGCCCATATGGGCAATTAGTCCATGTGAAAATACCAGCGGGCAAGCGATGTGGGTTTGTTCAATTTGCTGACAGGTAAGCTAGGTCTGCCTCGAATTTTCCTTGATTGGAATTAAACATTAATGTGGGAGACTTTGTTCTGTTCCATGCATATGTGATGGCAGACATTGTGCTGAGGAAGCACTGAGGATGTTAAATGGAACTCAGTTGGGTGGTCAAAAAATTCGGCTTTCATGGGGTCGTAGTCCTTCAAGCAAACAGGTTCGTACCTTCTAAAACCAAGAAACTTGTGCTCTTTGCATTTACTTCACATTTTCTCCCTTGTAGTATTAAAATATACAGTTTCCGTCTGTTGGCTTTGTTCAGTCTCAACCAGATCCAAGCCAGTGGAATGGGGGATATTATGGATATACACCTGGATATGAAACTTATGGGTATGCCGCAGCTGCTCAAGATCCCAATCTGTACTACAGAAACTATCCTGGATATGGAAACTATCAGCAACCCCCCCAGCAGCAGTAGAGGTAAGATATATAAGTGTGCCCTTTGGCTTCTTTTGCAGCCAATAACTTATTCTTTCAAGTGATGCTTAAAGTTTCTTTCAGTTTTGGTATTACTTGGTCATGTCCTCTTTCCTAGTGTAGTTATAGGACAAAGTACCCCCAAGAGTCCTAAATATAAAATGTGAATATGTGGTTAAATACTTGAGATGTGATGACCAAGTCGATTTCTATAGCTTATCTATTTGATTATTCTTTTTGCATTATTAAAATGTTCGACAAGATGATGCTGTTAGACTTTTCGTTTTATTGATTTAATTATTTGAATACTTGGTTAAACTTACCGATCAGAGTTTTAATATTATACACTATCTTCCTTTCTAGAGCCATTTGGAAGCAATGCTTAAATCCAACTTTGTTTAGTTTTAGAGTTCAGAAATTACCAATATTGGTGTGATATTCCCTTTATAGTTTTCCTTTGCAATGAGGGCAGTTTTTGTTTTGTGGCAAAGAAGGAGATGGTGAACCCAGAGTGGAGTGCTCTTAGGCTTTTCAGTATTTTTTTATATTTATTTTTGGGTTAGCATACGACCAAGTTCTCATGATTCTAATCACATTTTTCACTCTGTTTGTTTTGGCAGAAAACATTTTTTGGAAAATATTTTCTGCATTTTTGATTGTTTGGTGGTTAGGACATAAAACTAAAGTCAATGGAAAACAAGTTTATTTGGGCGGAAAATGTTCTCCACTCCTTTAGAAAGTGTAAAATGTTTTCCGGACTACAGTTTTATCAATGCCACCACCCTATCACCACCTAAACCACTACCACCGCAGTTGTTCAGTTCTTAGCTCGAGCTGACACATGCACAACATTGGAAGTTTGGTGGTAGTTACCAGTTATGATTTAGTAATGCATCATAGAATACAGATATAAGTTGGCTCTTTGTCGATACAAGTGAAATTATGAATTAATCAATTCCTGAATCTTTTTGTGCCTATATGCTACAGCAGTATGCTCATGTAGTTTCTCTTTGCACGGGTATACCTAACTGAGTTACGATATGTTATTATGCAGTGTATTTCTGGTTCATTTGGCTGCAAAAGATGGTGGATGGTGATTGACGTCATATCTGTGAAGAGGAAGACTATGAAAGTTCTATTTGCCCATAATGTAGCATACTTTGGCTAAATCACTGGTTGTTGACTTCATTTCTGTACCTAGTGTTTGGAGGATTCTGTACTTGAGAGTTGTCTTTTTTGTAACTTGCATGCTACTTCATTCTTGATCCGTCAAAATTTTCTTTTTCCTGTTTGTCCTAGTCATACATACCTGTTTGCTCACCTTATTACCATTTATTTTCTATGGCTTGGTGCTGGGAATTATGTCAGTATAGAAATGTTGGAGTTTGGTGATAGTAACACATGGGACTTCTTTTGGGTAAATGAGAAGTATTAAATATTGCATGATTCTCTTGACAGCATGGTTCTAGACCTTTATGCTTATTCTTTTAATTTGCCATCCCGCACCAACCCAAATCAGTTGTGCGGTTTGAGAAGGTTAGCGGGTTGGGTTGGGTAGTTCGAGTGATAAAAATCGGCGGGTCAGTTGGTTGGCTGGTTAAAATGTGTGAACCTGTCAAAATTATCTTGATACAGTATCTTTCTAACCCTAATATCATTAGTTAGATGATGCTTACCCTTCATTTTCATTGCATTTTTAATTTGATTTTTTCCGTATATGAATTTATGAAATACAATTTTGAATAACATTATCATTCAATTAATTTGTATGTTTTGAATCTAGATTTGGAATAAATAATCAATTTTTTTATTTTAAATTTTAAATTTTTTATGACTAACAAAATTAAAGAAAAAAAATTAAAGCCTGTTTATTACAATTTTGAACCACTGTTAACGTAGTTCCAGGGAAGAACAATGTTATACCAACTAATTAAGCAATGCATAATTTTTATTTTCAAAGATGATGAGGTTGAATTGGTGACGCCATTCATTTTAAAACACACAGAAATAAATTACGCATAAAGACAGCTCTAAATTTTAGAAATACCATTACCCTATCATTTTTTGGATGCATTTCACATCCTAGCTTCAAAATTGAATCCTCCACACATTTCTCATCATTTTCCAATGGTCTACGCACACAATAGTCAGTTTTGAGTTTAAAATGAAATGCAGTGCACGACAAAAAATAACTACAAGGACTAACTATTTTGGCAAAGAGAGTCTTTGGTTAATTTGATGGATCTCAAATTGTAAAATACCAAAAGATGGATCATTTACCCTTTTTGGGTGTGTGTGTTTGTGTGTGGGGAAAATGAGAATAAAAAACAAATTTGGCTAATGTATTTTGAAAATGTTTGAAAAACAAGTGAGGAGTGATCAACATTGGTTGTCAGTGGGCGGTGGTGGATGAATTATTGAGGATCGAAAATGGTGACAAGAGGTGGTTGTCAACAAGATGTCCAGATGTGGTTGGTGGTAGTCAGAAATATTTGTTGACTGTAGGAAATGGTGACTGGAGGAGGTTGTTGGTGGCAATAGCTAAAGGTGGTTGCTAGCGGTGGTAATGAGCGATAGATGACAGCCACAGGAGATGGGAGATGGGAGATGGAGAAAGGAATAAAAACTTATTTTTCAGATAAGTAATTTTTTTTTTTTTTGAATTATAAGAATTTAGTAAAATTTGTGAACTATTTACAATTTTTTTGAAAACAAAAAAAGATACCAAACAAGTTTCATTTCCAGTTTTTAAAATTTTTGTAAATATAAACTCAACTAAATTCAACTCAACAAAAACCTATTCTCATTAGCCGGAGTTGGCAACATGCATACTTTGTTTCCCATTCAATTTCATCCAAGGCCATAAGCAGCTGTTAGTACAAACTCAATCAACAATGCCAAGGATTGCTTTTATCTTCAATTTCTTAGTAAACATTACCCAAACATTCAAGAAATATTGGATTACGATGAAGTATATAATGCTAAAAAAATGAAGCAACGAATGAAACTTGTCCAAACACATTGTGAACAACTAGAAAACAGTAAGAACTGAATGATTGAAACAACAATAAGAGAAACATGAAAGTTAAGTTCAAAAGTATAGAATTCCGCTCATACTTGTTTTTCCTGAAGTCTTTATCTATCTTTAGCTGTGAATTCTTTTCTTTTTCTCATTCTTTTCTTTTCTTTTCTTCTTGTGATTCCTGGTAGGTGGTGGAATTCTTCAAGAACAAAATCCACATCATTGGCTAGAACAGAAGAACTAACCTTTTCCAGAACAAAGAATTCCTCCGGCTGCTACCTTAGGTTCAAAAGCAGCACCTTTTTCCGGCAAATGTTACTGGTTGATTAACCAGCATCAATTACCGGTTTTCAATTTTGGGTAATTTCATCTCTCCCTGAATCTTTGATAGACTCTGACTGCATAATCTGTGGTGTATCGGTTTTAGCACCAGCTGGAGTTTGTTGTAGCTCGGGATTTCCACTCTTTAGCTCATCACAAGCCAACTCACTTGACTCGAGCCCAAAATCTACAGCCTCGTGTTGAACTTGAGGCACCTGATCCATGTTTTCCTCACCATGACAAATATCAACACTCCGTTGAGATCCTATTTCTAGTACCACATTCACATCTTTCATTCCCTCTCCATCAATGTTATGCCTTTCTAGCAGAATTGAATCTTCAAGATCTTGCATTATCTCATCCTGTTTCGTAGATACATTCTCAAATCCAAACTTGGAATTTTGTTGTGGTATCAGTTGGTTGTCAAGTGCAGGTCCAGAATTTTGTTGTGGTGCGTCTTTTAACCCTCCCATGGAATCAGTCAGAGGTGTCATAACTGAGGCAGATTTGGTAGTGACTGCAAATTGGTTATCAAGTCCAAACTCGGAGTTGTGATTTGGCACATTTTTCGCTCCCAAGGAAGCGCACAAGTAATCAGTCATCGGTATCTTACCAAAGGCAGATTGGTTAACACTGGGAAATGAAGCAACTGGCTGCAACCAAGAGGCAGATTGGTTCTCGAGCCCAAACTCAGAAAGTTGTTGTGGCAAGTCTTTTCTTGGATCAATCTTTAGGAAGGTATTGGTCTGAGGGGTGGATTGTTTCTTGAGCCCAAACTCAGAATTCTGCTCTGGCACGGTTTTCTCTCCCATAAAAGTGGATGACCCTCCCCAGATCCCACAGTAACTAGAGTCTCGTGGACCAGGACTGCTATGAGTGGCAGATTGTTTCTTGAGCCCAAACTCAGAATTCTGTCCTGACACAATTTTTTCTTTCATAAAAGGGTCCGACTCTTTTTTTGTCACAAAAGCAGCCTCTTTGTATGCAGGGGTAAGACTGCATACATTTGATTCTCCCCAAATCCCACAATAACTAGAGTCTCGTGCACTAGGACTATCCTTTTTATCTGTTAGAGGTATTGAATCAGGGGTGGATTGTTTCTCAAGCCCAAATTCAGAATTCTCCTTTGGTACGGTTTTTCCTCCCATAAAAGCATCTGACTTATTTTTTGCCACATACGTAGCCTCTTTGGATGCAGGGGTATGGCTGGATACACCCAACCCTTCACATACCCCGTAGTCGTGGGAGCCTCGTGCATTAGGACTAGCAAGTGTAGATGGGGAGCCTGATTGGAGCTCGGAAGGTAAAACTAGGGCTGGAATGGTAGGTGCCTGGTTCTCTAACCGGACAGGGTGCTCATTATTCCTTTCTGGTTGTGGGATAGAAGTAGAACCGTCAACTTGGCTGTGCAAGTTGAGGACCGGGATGGGAAATTCTCTTCTTTGGTACATCTTAGCTTGTGGAGCAACATCATTTGCAGCAGTAATGGGAGAGAATAGCCCCGGCTGAAACACCACGCCCCGGAGAAGAGTCCCCGTGTTGCCAGTCCGTACAGAAAGGAAATACCCGGCATCAAAAGAGCCCTCTATGACACCAGAAACCACCTGGCCGACCATGTCATTGTCTATATCATCACTCGGATCAAATTCAGTGTGTTGATTAGTTCTTACATCATCAGATGGAGCGGGTTGAGGTGATTCTGCTGGTTTCTCCTTGTGGACTAGGCTTTCATCCTTGCGTGGACGACCACGTTTACGCTTCAATGGAGGGTCTGCTGGCGTGGAAGTGCTTGCCTGCTTATTCTGTTGACTCATCTTGCACCAATTGATGCTTTTCTATAAAATTTTCTCTGCAAACAAACACTGCTCTTTGCCAATAAGACCAATAGGAAAAAACTAGTTATTGAAAAGCAATGATACTGTAGAAAGCAAGCAAAATCTAATGATAGGTTTTATATTTGAAGTCTGAATTCTGTTCAAGGAAGCAAATTATTGGCATAATGACAGACAATTTATTTGAAAAATTGTTTTCTAAAATTGTTTCTTAGCAAACTTTTCTCAAAAACAATTTTTTTTAGGAAGCGCTTTCAAGTTGTTTTCAAACTTTCTGAAAATTGTTTCGGACAAAGAAGAAAAGGAAATGGAAACAATGGTTTGTCTCCGAAATTTTAATTCATTTTTGTTTCCCAACGCACGAAAACTTGAAAATGATTGTTTTCATTTTATGTTTTCTATTATCGAAAACAGAAAAAACAAAGGAAAGTGAGGCTAAAAATCAGTTTGACAAATAGTTTTTAGGAAAAAAAATTCTGAAATTTTTGAAGGAAACATTTTCAAGTTGTTTTCTAAATTTTCAAAAACTATTTTCACACAAAAAAGAAAAAGATATGGAAAACAATGGTTGTCTTTGAATTTGTCATTGCTTTTGTTTCCAAAAACATGAAAAACAGTTTGGTATTTACAAATCATAGATTAAGAACTTTCAAAATTTAATCTCGCTTTTAGTTTCTATCGTTTTCCTACAGATTCTCATCAACCAAACAACCTAGGGCCCTCATGGTAAAAACAAATACATGCCATGTATATACATTGTATGGATTACAATTGCAAACCCGTTTCTTAGTCTCCAATCACATCGAAACCCAGAAAAAAGAAACAATTTTTTGAGATTCTAGGAGATCAGTAATAGTAATCTTAAGCAATACATCACGATTATTACATACGTATAAAGTATTGTAAAACAAAAAGATATGAAGAACTTACGTAGCAAAACAAAGACAGAGTAATAAAGGTATTATTAATGGGGAGATCAGAGAATCACTTGTTACGTACAGTGATCAGCGAGATTGGTGGGATAAAAAAACCGTTTCTTTTTTGCTTCCCTTTGTTTGTGATTTTCCCGGAAAATGTCATCTGACATGAGGAAGGAATTGAAGAGTCTTTTAAATTGTTTATTTTTTTTATTTTTTTTTGGTATTGTTTGGGGGAAGTTT